AAGTTCTTTTTGATGCACTCAAATTTAAACAATTTTATATAATCTCTTTAATTTACAAAGTAATTTATAAATTTTATAAATTTATTAATTATTTCATTTTCAAGCAATTTAGTATTTCAATTCAATACCTCTCACGACGATAGTACTATCGATGTTTTCAACTATCGTTTCGAAATCTATCGAGTGGCGGTACTATCGATAGTATCCCAGCTCTACTACTAGCGGCGCATAAGTTCGGTAGCTGCGCACACACGACTTGTGTGTGAAAGCCGAGTAGCTCCCGGAGACTCCCGTGCACAGTATACCAGTAGAAAAGGTTTTTGTTGTTGTGGCTGTTAATTTGGTCCCCATAAAGGACCTGAGGGTTGCGAGCAACTGTTTTGCCGTATTCAGGGTGCTGTGCAGCAAAATAATATGGTGAAAAATTTTAACATCGGATAAATAGCGAGAGAAATATTGTTATACGCTTTATAAGTAAACATGAACGCAATAAAATGTTTTATACTTCAATACAACTAATTAGCACTATTTTTGCAATTCGAAATGATCTTAAAAATATTTGTAGTGAAATATGTACTATATGAGTTAAATGGAAACTATCTTATATGTAAAAATATATTCCGATTTACTTCAAATAAATGATGTAAAATATTTTATATATGGATCTAATTTTAATAATAATATTTATTACTTTCATCTACATTGCTTTCACGATTAGTTGCAGTTTTCTGCAATTGTCTCTGGCCGACTATACATGCTAAAGCTAAATAATTTCACAATTTGTTCCCTATTAAACGTTTATATTTTAATAAAATGTGATCAATTACTTAAGGGTATATAATTTCCGATCAAACTATAGTACTGAATGCTTGAGAGACAATTATTTAAATCAAATGATCAATAGTGAACGCACTCGGAGCGAATTTTGGAACACGGAGCGAATTATGCTTATTGACACTAAATAGTTTCTAACTTTCTACCATATTATACGTTTATATTTCAATTTAATATGATTAATTGCTGAATAATATATAAACTCCGATCAAACTTCACTACTGAATGCTTGACAAACAATATTTGAATCAAAAGATCAACAGTGAACGCGCTCGGACCGAATTTTGGAACATGATATAAAATATGCATGTTAAGACTAAATGTTTTCTCATAAGCTTATCGTTTAATATAATATAATTATTAACTGAAGAATATATTAACTCCGATCAAACTATAGTATTAATTGTTTGACAAACTATATAAATCAAATGATCAACAGTGAACGCGCTCGGAGCGAATTTTGGAACACTTCATAAAATATTTACAGAGGAAGTATATTATTTGCTAGAGCTCAATTTATTAACCGACTTCCAACCAAGTAATTTTTAG